ATTAGAAGTAACAATGGATACTATGTGCAAATTATCCACCATATCCTTCAGGCCAATAGGTCAGACTCTTACTGGCTTCTTTTATGTCTCAAATGGAGACATGATGGCTTTGTTACTGTGAATGCATCTCTCATCTTCACCTTTTCAGGGCATCTCAAACACAACAACTTCATCAGTGAGCCGGGGGAGTCGTACCCTTGATTGGGTGTCTGAGTCGAGTTTGGCCACAGCCTTCATCCTCAGCTCAGTAGATCACTGAAAAGGGACTGGGCATCATCTGGTTGGCTTAAACTGCTCTTTCCTACAAGGGTCGGCTTAGTATGTCCGTACTGGTCTCTACTGCTCCCATGGCGTTGTAGCCTCTGGATCTCCAGCTTTGATAGAAGAATAGAATAGAATAGAATAGAATAATCCTTTAATTGTCCCTCGAGGGGAAATTTGGGTGTAACAGCAGCAAGAAAGAGACATATACAAACAAACAGTACACAAGACACAGAACAGAAACATACACAATTTTTACATATTTACATCAAGGATAGTAACATAGTGATTCAAGCACCATCCTTCTCACGGAAAGTAGGAAAGACTGGATTCGTTATTGTTGATCTATTTATTGAGTTTTTGGTTCCTGTTGTATTTTTTTGCTTTCTAGTTTCTTTCTGCCTTGTTTATGTTGTAGTGCTTTCTATGTTCCCTCTATTTCAACTATTATTAAAGTCTGACTTCTGTTTTGTGTTTTTCCCCAACTTCTATCACTGTCGTCATGTTGCTTCTGAATGGAGCAGGCAGTTGTATTCAGAAAGGTTAAAAAGGCTGTACGCCTCAGCACTAAGAAGATGACACATCAGGCTAGCTTCTAGACCTTTTAAGACACTCTCGGGTTGATTGTTGTTGTAGTGCAGAGACGGAGATGAATTTATTTCATTTGCGAGTTGTTATCATGGAAACGCTGGTTTGCTGAAGCATAGACGATGCTCTGAGCAGAAGTGCACTGATGCAACACCGAACGACAGTTGCACAGAGACAAGTTTCAGTGAGCTCAACAGTTATCTGGAAATGATGAACTATGTGAAGCCTTTTTTTTCCCTCCTCCTTTGTCAGCTGCTGTTATCATTCACATTTGTACTGTCACACAGCTAAATTAAAGTATGTCAACAGCTGTTAGACAGTCACTGTGAAATTAGCACAGACAGTCATGGTTCTGATTACAATTTATCTTGTAATGACTTTAGTCTGCCTCACTTTTCCCCGAGAGCCTCCAGAGATTTCTCAAATTTGTCAACACGTAGAGTAAAACTCGCAGTTTCTGTTGCAACGAGAGAATTTCCTTTGGGATGAATAAAGCTTTCTCTTTCCTGCTTGGTGTAACACTTTGATAGTCCTCTCACTTTTTTATTTGTTTTGTTTTGTTTTTTTGTTTTTTAACTGGAATATCTCACTGAACTTTACTGTGATACATTACTGTGATATTTGGCTCGTTGTCTCCAGAGGATGACTTGTAAAACCTTTTTTCCCAGACTTTCTCCAACACTTTTGTTTATGATGAAATCTCAAGAAAACGTATAGCGTAGCATTATTCACATAGGCCTCGGGGAAACGAAAATGAGAAATGCTGAAAGAAAATGCCGGCTTGTACATTTTAAAAATGAACCTGATCAAATTGGGAACGTGTTACAACCTCAAAAGTGTGGTTACCTTCAGATTTAAAATAAGAACAGGGAACAGTTAAAGATAACAGATAACTGCTGGCAGTCTGATGTATGTATGTAGGGACCTGGTGCCAAAGAAAGGAGGTAAGAACTAGTTCCATTTTCTGTTGTCTTCCTCTGAATGACCTACACTCTACTGTGTACATCTTAGTATAAAATCCTGGTATTAAATCTCATAGATATTCTCAGTCCTATATGTTTTGAAGAGGCAGCTGTGCTTGAACTGAAGGCACCTGGATTTATTTTTAAGGTTTGTTTCATCTTCTTGCCTTCAGCTCGAGCACTTAAACACCATCATGACCTGGATGGATGAGAACCTACACAGATGCTATGTCTCCTGATGGCCACTGGGTGGCATTATAACTACACAATTACAGCAGCCTGTGTGGAAACACAAACGTGCAGTGCACCTATGTGATCAAAAATTTAATGATGATGGACCAAACTGATACGACTTTTATTTCACTGGGCAAAAAGACATCAGCTGTAAGAGTTTGCTACGAGAGTGTGACATCATGTGACTGCAGAGGTTGTGGCTCAGAAGGTAGAGCAGGTTGTCTACCTCCTAAGAAGTGAAAGGCCAGACAGTTGATCCCCGGCTCCAGTCTGCATGTTCATGTATCCTCGAGGAAGATGCTAAACCCTGAGATGCATCTGGACTACAACTGGGATCATCACACTGATGAGCCTTCACGCGGTTAAAGGCGGGATCTTCTATCATCATCTTTATTGTCACTGAGTATATTAGCAAAATCACATAATAACACATCTCCATTTTTCATCAAACACGCTGCTTTCGCAACACTGATTTGAAATCACCACAAAGTTGCACTTATGAAACTTTACTTGTGAGCTGTTGTTGCTCTAAAAATGTTACACAGTCAAACTTCTTGTTGTTTTCCTGTAAGCTCTGGATTTGCTTCATGAAAAGATGTCAACACTCGGTGACGCAACTTCATTGCCACCTTGTCTCCTCATTTGATCCATCAGGAAAAAAAAAAAGATTATAATATGTAAAATAATAATTTTATTTTGCATTTGAGGATGAAAACGTATTTTATCTCTGAAGAAAGCAACATGTAACAGAAGGTTTAATCTTTGATTTGATATTTCATGTGTACACTTCTAATGGTTTAGTTCTTCCTTGTGTCTTCACCGAGTTGACCAAGATTGCAAAGCAGAGGGTGCCGCAATAACACGCCAACCTCACACACTCCAGACTTACTCAACAGGTTCCGACACAAAGAGGAACAGCAAATGTATTGAAGAGAAATGACATGAACGTTCATATACATAAACATTCCCTTAAATATATACCAAGTTGACCTTAGAGAGAAAGCTCAGAGTAGGAAGAAGTGAAATCCTCTCTGGCACGGGATGATTTATACAATCCTGTTGAAATTACCAAGAAGAGAATGAACAGAGATGACAAAACCGCCCAATCTGGGCTCTGCCTGCACATTTCTCAAATAGTTTCCTAGCTGAGTCGACCACCGCATCTACTCGCCCTTCTCTGTCCAGCCTCGCTACTCACTCCACTCTCACATTTGGACGACGTCCCTCACACACAGAGTACCTCGGTGGGAAATTAGCAGAAGCCAAATGAAGGCAGAGACTGACTGCTTAACACCAGTTTTAAAAATCTTTGGATATCACCAGTACTAGAATTAAAATATACATTAGGTGTGGCAACAAAGCAACCATTTTAATTTATATCTGAAGGAATTTGTAAGAATGTGAGAAGTGCATTGTTTACCTTTGTTTTGACCCCCAAACGTCCCCAGGCATCCTGAGGACCTTCTGAAGGTTTCAGGTGGCACCAAATATGATTGAGAGGAGGCTGAACCTTTATTTTAGATTATAGTTTGCATGTCAGGAGGTTAAACATTTTAAATAGTTATTTGTTTTTATAGTATTAATCTTATGTCAATAAAGTCTATTGTGTCTTTTTGCCTTTTGACTTAAGTCCAAGTTTAGTTGACAAGGTTAGCCCATTCTGAGGTACAAGCTTGTAGCTTCTAGTTAATTTCAGAGGCAGCTGCTGAAACCAAGTGCCAGCTGTGGTCTTTTCTTTTTTGGTTATGCTTTGTGTATCTTTAGATTTAGTGAAGAAACCTCTGGTTCATTGGTAATCCAGCCGCTTTGGGGCATTCTAACACTGCCATTTACACTCACTGACCCTCTGTTAGCTATACCTGCTCATTCACACAAATATCATGTGGCAGCAACTTAATGCATTCAGGCATTTGGGCCTATCCATGAAAAAAGGTAATCTAAGTAACTTTAAACGTCAGACTCATTTGAGTATTTCAGAAACTGCTAATCTACTAGGTTTTTCGCACACAACCAGTTTCCCAAGCTGGGACAAGTTTGGGAGTTTACAGAGAATATTCTGATAAATAGAAAATATCCAGTAAGCAGCAGGTCAGTCCATTCGTCCGTCTTCAGTGTTTCTGGGGACGGAAGTCTGTTTCAGCTGTCAAAGGTTGAGAGTTGAGGCAAATCCCGGACAGGATGTCTGTAGCAGGCCTTCAGTGAAAATCCCCATTTGATGCCAGCAGGCAGAGGGTAGAGGACAGACTGCTGTGAGCTGATAGGAAGGCAACAAAAAGGGTCAGAAACTGACTCCATCATCAAAGATGGAACTGTATCAGTGGTTCAAGCTTCTGCTGGTGGTGTAATGGTGTAGACGTAATTTTCTTGACACACTTAGGACCCCTTAGTATCAACTGAGCATGATTTAAACACTAAACACTGACCATGTCCATCCTCCTATGACCACAGCATACCTGTCTTCCAATGGCTGCTTCCAGCAGGATAACACACCATGTCACAAAACAGAAATCATATCAAACTGGCTTCTTGAACATAAGTATGAGTTAACTGTACTCAAACAGCCACCAGCTCTCCATCCAATAGAGCACCTTTGGGATGTACAAATCTGCAGCCGCTGTGCGAAATTCTGAGAAATGTTTCCAGCATCTTGTTAAATCTATGGCATGAAGAATTATAGCAATTCTGAAAGCAAAAGGGCCGACCCAGCACTAGCAAAGTGTAAATAATAAAGTGGCCGTGAGTGTATATATAAGCCTTTCATACGGCGCTTGATTCTCTAAAGTTTATTGGCCTCACATCCACGGCCATTTATAATCACCAGCTGAGTTAACATGTATGTCATTGGACTGTGGGAAGAGGTCGAAAGAAACCCACACAGACACAAGCAGGATGTGGTTAAGGTGACAATGACTTGATCTCCCACTTGAGAAGAAATGACAACACACAGGCAGCGTGTACTCTTTGAAACTTGTGGTTTTTTTTATTTGATAATACTGAATACTTTGTCCTTCGCCCGGACTTACACAAAGCATCAAACACATGCACAGTCCTCTATTCACACAAGGAACCCATTTCCCATTTCTCTGTACCTTTCTCTGGTTAATCGCTCTCACTCTCACGTTACTCCAGCGCAAGAGGACCTTCGACACTACAGCTAAAGACATCGTAGACAAAGACAGCGAAAACACACGCACGCACACACACTCACAAAAAAACCCAACCAAACAAAAAAAGACAGGTATAATAATAACACTGAAAAAAATACAAAGTAATGGAAACTGGAAAGAGTTTACTTTTAAATTATGCCTCTAATACTCCATCATATATATATTTTTTGTTAATGTAGCTTGAGGTTTATAAAACAGCACTGTAAACATTAAGTAACTGCTTTCTAGGACAGCGATAAAGCTTTCATTAATAACTGGAAGGAGCAAGAAAGTCAAAGCTAATATTAAGCGTATAAAGACCTTATTTTTTTATTACTCGTGAAATGAACCGTCTGCAAGAATATATCATGAAAACTGCTGTTTGCATTTACAATCAACAGATAATACAAAGACACTGAAATAACATCCCCGGAGCGCTTTTTTTGTTTCTCTTTCACACATAAAATCTGCAAAAAGATCCCTTTTATCCAAACCTTTCACACATCCACTTTTTTGTTCACTGCAAGTACTACTTTATATGTTATGACAAAGATAGCAAGGGATATGCTCGCGCTTTTTTCTGAATATGAATCACCAAAGCACTCAAAATGGGCGAAAAATTCTGCACCTGAGGTGGATCTGTCGGTCGGTCGGGGCGAACGATAATATCTGTCACATCAGAGTGTTCAGGCTCTTGTCTTTACTGGAACTCATCCTCAAAAAGTGCAAATCTAGTTCTAAAGCAGTAAATAATAATTATTATTATTATCAAGTAACAACAAAAGTATATGCATAGGTTCCCTACAGCTACATAACAAAGAAAAGGGGAGGACGTGAAGAGGAAGAAAGGAGGAGGAAGTGTGAGAAATTTGAGATATTTCTGATTGGACTCTGGGGCAGTGGAGAGGTGGTGTTTAAATTTAGAGCGCTCATCTTCACGCAGCATAGACTGGTCCAGTGAGGCCGGTGACGGACGCAAAAATCCCCACCCAAAGAAACCAGAGAAGATTGCAAGATGATTCACGATCTTTTTAAAGAAAGCGTGTCGTCGTGTGGGCGTGAAAAAAAGTTCCCGGCGGAGACGATGAGAAAACTGTGAATTAAGAGTGCTCGGAGAGAGAGGGAGAGGGGGAGACAATCATTTTAAACAAAATGAAATGAAAAAAATAATAATAAAGGCAACTTGGAATTTGGCTTTGGAATAAAGAAAACTGGAGGATGAGGTAATAAAAGCAGGAAGATGATGGATAACCAATGGCTGTCTGAATACTGGGAATTGATTGGTGGAGATCAGAGCTGTTAAAAATTGCTTTGAAGGGGCAGGAAGTGCTCTGTCTCACTGAGAATTTTTATCCTCCTGACGCCAGCCTCAGGAGGAAGTTACATCACTTGACCAGTCTATGTCTCATGATGCTGTTTTGTTGTTTTTACAGAGCTGCTGTGTCTGAGAACAACCCCTGAGCCTCTTCAAACATAAAGAGTGGCAAAGGGTTGTTTTCAGACCAGCAGGTCATTTCTGTCACATTAGCTTTGCCTTTTTCTTAATTATAAAAAAAAAATTACTTTATTTCATTGGAATTGTGTACATTTATCTCCGTCAGGCTCTGCGGCGTGCTGTCGCATGTGCTTAGGGGTCCTCGGCATCCAGGAACTCCTTTTTGGGTGGTGCGACGCCGCGGTACCAGGAGCAGGAGCCGTCTGCCCTCTTGACGCAGGCGTAATGGTTGGCTTGGCGGCCGTGCACCTGCTTCTCGATCATCAGGTCTGTCCACAGGCACTCCTCAGGAGCCGAGATTTCACAGGGCAGAGAGGGACAGCGCACAATCTGCAGAAACACAGCACAATCCGCTCTTTATGACATCAAACTATCAGAGATGGGTGTCACCTGAAATACCACTGCTGTTAGAAGACCATATCAAATATGCCTTAAGGTCTAATCCTCCAGATTTTCATTAAATCAAGCCTCAGTTTTGCTTCTGATGGATAACTTTCAGTGCCAGCGTGCTCATATTACCCAACATCTACCAGGAATTTACTGGAAATGTTACAGCATGCAAATCTGGAGTCATTTTATCAGCCTGAGTAGCTGTGGTTACACGCACACATTTTTTCCTCTTGACTGAACTCACGTAGATTTAAGATATCAGGGCAACTGTTTACATAAGATTTGACCGTCACGCCGTTTGGTGTTTAGGCAGCCATGTATCAGTAGATATGCTTTCTTTTTGGCATGTCCCTGAAGATGGATAGCCATCACCTGCTCAGTGTCTCCATTA